CCCAACTGTTTTATGTTGGCCGGGCGGTTCTGCTGTCGTAAAAAAAAAAAAAACTCTCTTGGAAAGTTTTACTCTGCTCGATCGAGCAGAGTAAACCTTTCTCTGCTCTGTTGTCATTTTTTTTTCTTTCTGATTTTGGAGCCGTTGGCTGCCATAAAAAAAAGCATAGGAATGCATAGCAGGCTGTCGGCCGGCCAATGGCCGGCCTTTCGGATGAATAGACCCCTGTATATTTATATTAATAAAATATTGATAGCTCAAAAACTTAGACTGGCAGCAAAATGCAATGCCATCCTACAAAGTATGAGAACTGCCACCCCAACTAAAGTACAGAGAAAAGTAGTGAGCAAACCCAAACCTGAAAAGATACACTGCCTAGCCAAAAAAAGTCACACACTAATATTTAGTTGAACCGCCTTTGATTACGGCACGCATTGGCATTGTTTCGATATCTTTATGCAATGTCACATTTATTTCTGTCCAGAGTTGTATTTATTTTTTCACCAAGATCTTGTAGTGATGATGGGAGAGTCGGACCACTGTGTAAAGTCTTCTCCAGCACATCCCAAAGATTCTCAATGGGGTTAAGGTCTGGACTCTATAGTGGCCAATCTATGTGTGAAAATGATATTTCAAGCTCCCTGAACCACTCTTTCACAATTTGAGCCCGATGAATCTTGGCATTGTCATCTTGGAATATGCCCGTGCCATCAGGGAAGAAAAAAAAACCTGGTCATTTAGTATATTCAGGTAGGCAGCTGACCTCATTTTGGGTGCATAGCATTGCTGAACCTAGACTAATTCCAATGGAAGACTCTTACCTATTTGCTTAGCTAAATACATGTGTCTTTTTTTTGTATACAGGCAGTGTACAGTATATGAATTAGCTCCAAGATGTGGCTGTATTTATGAAAGCTAATTTAACAAGTCGAAATCTCTTGTGCCGGCAAACAAGATTTCCATATGGACAGTCTAGGAGTTTTCGGTTGATTCTTCTCAAAACCATACTAAATAAATACTTTATTTATTCAAATCACAACAGATCATTTTCAGCAGTAAACTAATTTTCAAGAATTAAAAAGAGTTATTAATCAACAAATATTGCTAAGAAACACAAATCTATTGTTTACAGTTTAGGTCTCAACCTCCATCAGTATGACTGTAATCAAGGCACCAGGTTTTCAAGAATGTCTTCTCACTATTAATATGGCAAACATTTGGGCTGATTTACTAAAGAAATTGACAATCTTCACGCCATAAATTGTGTGAACATTTACTTGAATTATTCAACCATGTGCAGGTGAAGTAAGTAAACAGGAAGATGCTTTTCACACAATTGGATAACTGAAGTGAATATTCACACAATTTATTGTATAAAAATGCTCAACTACTTTAGTATATCAGCCTCATTGTGCCATATAAATATGATAATCAGTAAAATTCACAGGAAGTAGTCATTCATTCCTTTAGATCAGCATTTCTCAACCTTATTTTGGTCATGGCACCCTAAAAGTATGCAAAATCTCAAGGCAGCCCAGTCTAAAATGTCATAGATTTTAAGGGGGACCAAATGCAAAAAAAAAGTGGATTTTCCCATTCACATTGAAGTGTCCCCTACAAATAAATATGCCCCCCCTTCATATCAAATTCACAATTTGCATCACTAGCCCCTTCATATCAGCATATCAGGACCCCCCCCCCCCTTCACATCAAAAGCCCCTCTTGCATATGTGATTCCCCCCTTTCATATCAGAGTTCCCCTTTTACATCAGGAACCCACTTCACCTCAGTCTTTATTCCTCCCTTCAAATCACAGTCCCACTACCACAACATTTTGAAGCACCCCTGAGGAAGCCAGGAGTCATGTCATAGTGCCACAGCACCCTGGTTGAGAAAGACAGAAATTAAATAATCTTTTGAACACCTAGGGGGAGGTAATGAAATATTACCTGTGGCAAACTTTGTCTCAACTGGAGAAAAAAAATGAGAGATAGTAATTGATTGGTGGATATGGGCAACCATACCAGTTGAGACAGAACTTGTCAGACTTTTTATTAATTTCCCCCATTAAGTCAGATAAAACCTTACTTGAAGTTAAAACCAAAACAAAAGCTCTTTAGCTCTTTTTCTTGGTCCTCGGTGGGCTTTACTACCACCAAGAACACTATCTTTATCCAATTCTCTCCCTATTTGCTTCAAGTTCACTTCGGTGTTTAATTTTTCTCTATTAATCCAAAATATGTTAGTATGTGTACAGCCATATTATCTCTGCATTTATGAGTATAGTATGGACATTAATTTGCAAGTTTCTGCAGGACAGGCACTGATGTCAATGTTGTTTTCTAGAAAGCACTGCAGAAACAATGTCAGTGCAATATAAATTAGTAAAAAAAGAAATAAAGCAGTACTGCAGTGTTAAGATGACACCACTGAATATTTTACCCCCAGGCGCTATCAGTGTTTCTTGCATCAGGCTGGGGAAAGGACACCCTAACCTAGGGAATGAGATCTGAATGCTTCCCCAACTCTTCCTTGCTCATATCTATTTCTGAAATCAGCAGATGGCCAGGATAGAGGTCTTGGGTGTCCAGTGTGTGCTCTCCGTAGATACCATCTACTTTAGTAGTGGCTGGTGCTTTTTGAACTTTAAAGAATAGAGCATAGTTCGGTATTAACTATAGTCCTTCATCTAATTTTCATATAGCCTGTTCATGCAATATTCATATCTGTGTTATATCCATGCATATCCATACATACTACATGTGTACATATATTGTAACTTGGATACATTCATTTTTTCCTCAATGCATAACCCAAAAAGTACTGTGAGGATAGGCAACCATCTACACTAATTTATTATAGTAGTACAGCAACTGTAGTGATTTGGTTTCAAAGGCATCCATATATATCTGATTGTTGCCTGATACAAGCAAGTTCAAAAAATGAATATGATACATAGACTAGCTGTATTTGAGAAACTAGAATTAATTCAGTATAGGCTTTACAAGGGTTTAACATTGCTAATACCCGATGTGAATAGGGATGAGGAGAGTGATTTCAGCTATATAGATTTACTGATTTCACCATCTCTATAATTTTGATTAAATTAGCCTTGAATTTCACCATGAAGCTTGCTCAGGCAAAATTTGCCTGTGTATTGTCAAAATTTGCATGAAAAGAATTCTACCTTTCAAAAATCCTTTCCTATGTGAAGCCCTGTGATGTCCCCCAGCAACCAATCAAGGAATGGTGTGCCACCATGAGTTAAAGGGTACTGTCACACGCAGTAGCACTAAACTGGCAATCTTTACAATATTTGCGTAACAAACAGACAGGCATTATAATATGTAGTCAACAACCGGGCAATCATGTGCGGACAACAAATGGCAATCTATACAATATGTGGGCAGCAGATAAGAATTGTCACAAAAAATGAACAAGAAACAGGTAATCATGAGAATTTGCAGGCAATATGTGATGTGGGTAGCTAAGGCAATACGCAGGCAACAAATGGGGAAAAAAAATATCGCAAACTGTTACAATAAGCAAAAAATTGGCAATTTCTAAACATGTGGGCAACAAACAGACAATTGTTACAACAGGTGGGAAACAAGTGTATAATCAGTACTGGTAAGAAACATGCAATTGTTACAATATGTGGCAGCTTTTATAGTACAGTAGGCAGGCAAGAAATGGGCAACCATGACAAAACACAGGCAAGAGATGGGCAAGCATGACAATATACAGGCAACAAACAGGCAATTGTTACAACAGGTAGGCAAAAAAAGGGAGAACTGTTAAAATACATGGGCAGCAAACAAGAATATATGACAATAAGTGGGCAACTAACAAACAATTGTGACAGTATGTGGGCAACATACAGCCAATTGTGAAAATTTACAGTGAAGAAATGGGCAATTATAACAATACATTGGCAACAAATGGGAGGCAACAAATGAGTAACTGTAACAATACACTGGCAAAATACAGGCAATCGTTGCAGTATGCAGAAATCAAGCATACAATCATGACAATACATGAGCAAGAAATGAGCAATCATGGAAATACATAGGCAACAAATGTGCAATTCTAGCAATAATAAAAGGAGAACCATGGGGTAAGTGTTTTTCCCCATAGTTCTCCTAAGGGTCACGGGAGGACATATACTAACCTCCTCCCTTGACCCAAAGTGATCGCTGGCTCTGCCTATCTAGAGGCAGAGCCAGCTGTACCCGCCCCCTCCCCGTCCGTTCCGCCAGTCAGCGCTGGAGCTGATCGAGAAGTGAGCGAGCGACGGTATGTGTTCGCTCACTTCCCGATCTATTGAGCCGACGTGTGACAATAAAACTGTCACACATGAAAATCACTCACCTCATAGTTCTCCTTTAAGCAACAAATGGGCTATTATTGCAGTATGTTGTAAACAAATGAGCAATCATGACAATACAGTTGAAAGAAACAGACATTCATGACACAGCGGCAAAAAATGGGCGGTTGTGACAATAAGTGGGCAACAAACGGGCAATCATGGCAATACACAGCCAAGAAACAGGCTATTGTGACAATAAACAAGCAACAAATCAGCAATAATTACAATATACAGGCAACAAATGGGCAATTGTTCTAATACACAAATCTAATGTCATGTTCCCAGGTAGGTGTAGATTTTGTGCCGCAAGACAGGTTTTATGATATTTAAATGAGCTTCTGTAACCCTTAGGTTCTAACCCCACACCACTCTAGCCAAATCTGAAAAAAAGGATTGCCTTTAATTATTCTCTAATTTCCCCTTCCCCATTAACTGCAATGCAAATTGCAAAATGTAAGATTTGCAAATTCTAGTGAAATGAAAACTCTTAATTTAGCTCATCCCTAATTGTGAAACATAATTGCTTTACTAATATAGCACCTCCTAGCCTGCCATGTACCTGCAGACTCCAGAAAAAGGGTACAGTATATGTGCAGATCTTAATGAACAGTACACGTATGTATAATGCAGGAGTTAACACAACCTCCATTAGAATGCATACTCTGAAAGCTCTTTTTTACATATCTTCTGGATCAGCAAGAATGAATAATTACTTTCTTCTTACCAAGTCATGATTGTCGTTTTGTCAATGCGTATAAATATTACTTTTGTCTAGATTGTACAGTCTTAATATTTATCAGCTCTGTATTGTTCTTCCACCTCCGCAGAATCTTCACACTCTGCCATCTAAAGGTTTGTGCTCATCTTGTCTGCCATCCGCCGTCATTCTATCTGATACACATTTGTTCCTCTGCTGAATGCCTTTATTTGTGTTTCTATGGAAAATAGGAAGGATGAGGTGCCCCCCAAGCCAAGTGTGACTTAGCATGCTGTAGAAAGCCTTCTTATTGAGTCTGTAGTAATAGACGAAATCTACAATCATCAGTGAAAGAATAAGAAGTCCGTAGAAGCCAATGCCAAGCAGAGGAAGTGGGCTCCTTTCAAAATTACACATAGACAAAAAGAAATACTCTCAGATATAAATTGGCAAACAAATACATAACACATATACACACATGTTTTTAAAATATATGATTATATTTTTAATGGAATGAGTTTTCAGGTCAGATGTTAGGAAATGAGAGAAACATCTATGAAAATGTAAAAAACAACTATTGCCCGGCGCCCGGAACTGCATGTCCCGGGCACCCAGGAGAAAGGAATTCCACACCCCTGCTGCCCCAAGGCCGGGCCTTGGTTGGCCTTGTGGGAAATCCGGCCCTGATTGCGCTGGTTGCATAAGTCCAGGGGCAAGCGTCTGCAGGTAATTGCAGCATGCGCAGTTACATGTGAATGGCTGCTGTTTGCATAAGTCTCATGGACCAATTAGTTAAACGTATGCAATTCAACCCCCTTCCCAAGTGTAAATGGGGCCATAATCATTAACTGACCTGTCTTTATTCTGGACTGAACTGTGTCTTCCTAACCTACTCTGCATTCCCGTTTTCATCTTTCTGCCCAAGTATCCATTCTACAGTCTATCCAGAATGAAACAGGTAATTTACTGAATAAAGGGATACTTTCACCAGCTCCCTAGGCTGACCATACATCTATAGATTTTCTATAGCAACAGATTCCTCCATCTACCCTAAACTGTGTGGATGGAGGAATCTCCCGCTGGGCCAAGCTTTAGTATCTTGCTAGTTGGAGCCACTGGCTCTCAAAAAACCTGAACAATCTGTTTGGATGCAGGCATTGTTCAGGTATTTTGAAAGCCAGCGGGGCCGACAAGCAGAATAACGAGGCTTGGCCCAGGGGAAGATTCCTCCATCCACACAGTTTAGCGTAGATGGAGGAATCTGTTGCACTTTTTCCATCTGACCATAGAAAGTCTGCAGATAATCTATATGTGTATGGCCTGAGAATACCTTTTCTAACAGAAATATGATGGCAGCCATTGCTGACCTCTTTCAATTCAACTGAAGAATTGACCAAGAATCTGATTGTTCTAACTTGTTCTAAGTCATGCCTCAACTAAAAGACTCCACCCTACACTCCAGTGGCACAGCGTGTGTTAACTGTACCGTTGTGTGGGTGGTATTAGGGCTACAAATGCCCCTTATGATGTCATCTGCTTTAAGTCCTGCTGAAATCTGCCCTGGGCTGGGGTTGTCTAAATGAGGACTGTGATAAAAATTATAATAACTATTTTCTGTCTTGCAAGTTTAATTCTATAGCATTAAGGGCCCATTCACACAAATTGTGCACATGACTGCAACAAAGTGCCATTCATTGCAAATGGCATGCCAATGCACTTGCATTCCAAAGCACAGTACTGTAGAGGGCAATGCACTGCAGCACCCCAAAATGTACATACTGTGGTCCATTATGGTGCATTGTCAGCCCATTCATAATGGACTTCCTTAACCCAATGCATGTTAATGCCCAGCGTAACATGTTAACACAATGAATTGCTTGAGTGTGAATCAAGTCTAATTATAGACATTTGCAATTTTTATGTTCTGTTGACATTTTTGGGTGTCTGTTATATATTCTTTGTTGTGCACATATTATATTTCATTGTGGGCATTTACTTGTCCCTGATTCTATCAGTTGTCTGAGGACTGTGATGAGTATTATAATAACTATTATCTATCTTTCAAGTTTTATATTATAGCATGAAGGGCACATTCACACTTGTGTGTTGAGATAATAGGCAATAAAATGCGCACGTTACTGCAACACAGTGCCATTCATTGTAAATGGCATGCCAATGCAATGGCATTCCAACACACTGTACTGTAGGGGGCAATGCACCACCGCACCTCTAAATGCACATACAGTGGTCCATTACAGTGCAAAGGCAGCCCATTCATAATCAAGTTTTAGGATGGGGTAAAAGAGAGGGCTAGTGTAAGATTAGCTTATAGGGATGGCTAGTGTAAGTGCAACCTTAAGTTAAGCTACTGCCCTCGGCACCAGGGGCTTTGCAGTAAAATCTATCAGTGCCAAGCTTCCGATACTAAAGGATAATATATCAATATTACAGGCTTACCTATAAATGTAAGTAGCAAGTTTCTCAGACAAATTGACTTTCATTACAGTTTCAAACTCATCGTGTTTGCAGCAGTATTTCAGTGAATTGTTTCCTGGCCAGCAGCAGTACATATGTTCATGAGAGTCGCTTAAACGCGGGCAGTAAAATCCTGAATGATACACATCTCCCTGCCCGGGGTAGCCTTCACACGTCCGGACGTTGAGAGAGGAAGCTTCAAAACAGATGAAAAGCTGAGTTACTAACACAATATCAGTATTTAACACAAGCAAAAGCAATGATAAACTGAAGTCATGCACACCTATTTATCAGCGGGTGTTCGGGTAATATTTCACTCACAACAGCGATTCATTTAAAAAAAAAAAAAAAAACATTGCTGGAATATACTTGTCTTAATCAGTCAACAATGTTACTTATTTTCTCTCAACAGATGGGTTTTAAATGTTTGTAGATATATGTGTCATACAGATCAGATTTTCACATAAAAGACTGATGTGAAAAAATTGACCTGTTGCTACATCTGTTTTGGCCTTTTGTGATGCTCAGATGTATATCTCTGATCGCTAAGCAGTAGTGCGGCCCTTGCCTAGCTTTCATTCACAATAAGACAATTGAATGGCTAAAGAAAGGATAGTACCATAAAGACCTCTAATTAACTGAAGGAGTAAAAGAAATGTGGCTCTTGTGACTGATCTACAAAATGTTGAAAGTATCTCTATTTGTGAACGCTAAAATGCTTTGATGCTTGCACAAATATCACATTAAAAACTACAAAAGGTCCAGTTATTTCTGGTTCATGCTGGTCCCGTTTTATTGTACATTATTACAAGGCTAGACCAAAGTGGATGAAATTAGCTATTTTAAAGTAAGCTCATATTGTCAGAAAAATCATTACATATACCTAGGGGGCTGCTCAGACAGACCATTTCTTTAAGCGCCATGGACTTAAATGATTATAGCTTAATGAGTATCGCTGACCCAGACCTTTAGAATTTTTGCTGACTTTTCAAACTGTACACAATGACTGTATATTTGTACTCATTTGCACAAAGGATTTTCCCCTCACCTAATCCATATTTGAATGGCAGAAATCTGGATCTGACCATGTAGTCATTTACCCCCCATTAACAACTATTAACAAATATGTTTTAAAGCTTGCTAAGAGCCTGCACTGGTCCTGGTTCTCTTCCTCTTTCAATCTCTCAGGCCTCCTGTTGGAGGCCTCAGGGAAACCGTTTCCCTTACATCAGCCAATGCCCACCTCCAGGCCTTGGTCTAGCCTGGGGGGCAGGCTGAACAGGATCCATCCCTAATCCATGGCTGGTCCCGGCGAGAGAGAGCACATGGCAGCTCCCACCAATATATGTAGTCTATCCCAGCAGGCACCACTGACTGAGAGAAGCCCAGTGATTGGCTGCTATACTGTACATAGATTACAGTATCCACCATTGGCTGTCCCACAACATGACAGAGTCTCACTCCGCTCCGGGGGGTACAGGCAATGTTAGACACCTGGGATTAACCATATAGTTGCCACTACAAATCCAGCCAGGCTGTCTACAGCCCTGGCTATCACTAAATGCCTAGTAGTCACATCACAAAAGGTGATGGGCGCTACACTTGTATATGGGTTTTATTGGGATCTGCAATCAAACTTGTACTTGTACTAGACAATTTTGAGTTATGTGATTGCCAGTATTGGGTTGGGAATTTCACCTCTGTAAGTAAACTGGACTCCTATTATTTTAACATTTATTTAGGCCAATTCGATGTCTGAATCTGATGGCCATACTGTATCTCATTTTATGTTTCTTATAATCAATTTCATGGGGTAAAACAGTACTTCTTTTCTGGAAACAATTGTCAATTAAAGTTGGATGGGTTAAAATTACTTGGGCCATGGGTGGTTGGTGAGTCCTGGGAAATTATCTTCTGCAGACCTTTTCCTCTAAAGATGCATGCTCCTATTCTATAACTGTGCAGGTTTACTGGATCTATAGATATCGAGCTCTGTACTCTGTAGATTATGGGGCTATCAACCACAAAAATTTCAGTCAAATGTGACCTTCCCACCTTCCACTGACTTCATCTCATGCAATCAAAGCTATCCCACAGACAGCTGGACAGTCTTGTAGTACTTTTTAAGTCACAGGTATTAAGGTGGCCATACACTTTACAACCATCGACCTTAGTCTTGCGATGGTTGTAAAGTAATTAAAAAAACGTACGATCTGCCCATCTTGGACAGGCAGATCGTACTTACGATCATCGCAAGCCCGCCCCCCCTGAGGGGCGGGCTTCCGATAACCGCAATGCTGAACGGGCAGTGTGCGCGTGCATTTGTCTCCCGAGCATCATTCAAACCAGCCGAAAATTGTAAGATTTTGGACTGGTTTTCTAACATGCTCCTTAGACAAAAGACGTGCGACCGTACAGTAGAAATGGTCGCACGTCTTCATTCACACTGCACGATTCTCGTACGATCGCGGGATTTCCCCGCTATTCTTGTACAAGAATCGTGCAGTGTATTGGCACCTTTAGACCACAGTGATCTAATACACCATTGTAATCTCTCTAGAATGGCCATAGGAATCACGTTGTGGCTCTTGACTATAGGAGTAAGGCAGTGAGACACCTCCATTGCGAGTTTGGAACATGGGAAGAATTTGTAAAAAAAAAGGTTTCTTATATCTGCAAACCTGCTTTCAAATAATTCAGGGCTTATCATCATTTGCAATTTCTTTAACTTATAGTCATATTTTCAGACTCAGGGGCCCCATTAATCTCAGATCTTCATCAAAGCCCTTCTATCGGCCTGTGCTTTACTGTGCAGAAAATGAAACCAAGCACTACTCAGGATCAAGCCATGCTTTGCAAGATTTTAGGTTCATTATACTATTACAGCATCTGCTGTGCCATTCCAAGAATTAGATTTACACTAATGGGAAGAGGGCATTTTTCTCATTTATGTTAAATGAATGTGATATGCAAAGGAAAAATCGATCTAGCCATGCATCAAATAATGGGCTTATCTTTTATTTAAATTGAAAATATATGCAGACACATCCAAATGATGTTACCTTTGAACATGTGTGTGCAAGATAATTTATATATAGCAACAAAGCTTTTTAACCTGAAAGGGTACATTGGCCAAATTTTTCCATGAAATTGATTACACCGAACCTTTAAAACAGAGCATACACTTGGATGTGCAGTGATTACAGAGTGCTGTTAGGTTTAAGCAGTTTTCTTGGTATCAGAAAAATACAAATCTCACAGTTCACCCGTGTTATACAGTGTCCCTAATGCTTGGAGCCATGTCAGATGGGTGATTCAGCCATCGGTGACACATTACTAATGACAGTCCCACCCAGGTGTGGAAACCACTTCCAATAATGGAGCTGCTCTCTTGGCCAGAACCTCTTCCACTAGCAAGGGAGAGACATAATGCTGGTCTAGCTAGTGAGAGAGTGACCAGGAAATGGTAAGTGTCTTTTAGCAATCTTGCCAGTTTTCACACTAGCGGTGTACTGTATGTGCATTAATCCCTAATTGAAAAGTCTCCACCAGGTGTGCATTAAAATAGCAGTGTCAATGTTATATACATTAAGCCTTCAGTAACCAGGTTCCAGTGTATGTCCATTAAACCATTAATAATATTTGCAATCTCAAACCTCTCATCAGTCTCCGATGTATGAATATTAACCTTCAAAAACTATTCTCAAGAGTATGTGCATTAATCACTTAGATAAGAGTTTCCAGATTAGATGGGTTAACCACTCAGTGGCCGGTCTACAGAGTAGTGAGTTATTTCCTCATTTTCCCATCTCAAGAATATGTATGTTACCAGTCAGTGGCTAGTTTCTGGAGTATGTGTGTAATCCTTCAGTGGCCAGTCTTTATAGCAGAGGTCAGTAACCTTTGCACATCAAGTGCCATTTTTACAATCATCAGACAAGTGGTATGCCAGTGAACAATAGTGTGTTGTTGTCTTAGTTAGTTTTCAATTGTTGTACTACAGCTGTACTGCTAATCACAGTAAAGTTAAATTAATTAATTATTAAATATAGCCATCACATCACAACATCACATTAAGATCTCAGATCAGCCCCAATACATGAACCTTCAGACCTCAGATCAGCCCCAATGCACATATACACTTAAAACCTCAGATCAGCAACAATGCATGCATGTACATTCAGACCTCAGATCAACCTCTATAGGCATGACATTTTAATATAGCCCAGTAGTTGGTTTGTTTGATACACAGAGCCTCCATTGTGATAAGATGTATTTGTTTAGGATCCCAGCACATGTATAACATTTTAAGCCCTGGACCTGGCTATCACATTATTCTATGCACTAAAAAGCCTACCTCTGGCTTTCGTTGTAGGACTGAATTTCAGCTTGAAGGGAGATCAGAGATTGCTGGAGGGCCTTGTAGCAGGAGTGACCAAATGACCCATAAAAGAAAGCTATTGTACATAACCAGTTTACAGTACATGAACAGTTGAAAATAGAATGTTCTTTTTTTCTCATTATTTTTTTTATAAATTAGGCTACCATTGTGTGCAGAAGTGCAGGCGTACTGGCTGGCTGGTGGGCTTTCTAAGCCTGCTTTCAGTGACATCAAGGAGGTGGGTGGACCAGGCTTTATAACTGACAGTCTAGGGAGCTGTTAATTACAGCCAATGATCACGATGATCGAGCGGCAGGCGGGGAGGAGAACGGAGCCGCTGTCCTCCTGTCAGTTTCAGAACGGCAGCGGTTCCTCCGCCGTCCATTTTTTCCCCGCTGCCTCAGCCCATACAATCGGGGGAGAGCAGCGGGGATCCGGGCCCCAGTGCCGCGGGCCCCCTAGCGACAGCATCGGTCGATATGCTGCTAGTTCCGCCACTGGTGCCCATCCTGGTATGCATGTCCGGAACTGACAACCCCTGGTTTAGAATAGGTGTGCTAAATCCTCAGTGGGCAGTTCCAGAGTGCTCTAATCACTCACTTCCCAGTCTACAGAGTTTCTAACTAGAAGACGATCTCTGGTGATGCTGTGGTCCTTCCACAATTCTTATCCCTACTGGAATTCATAAACGATGATATCAAGCACAATCAGCAGCCAACCCCACCTCAGAAACATCCAACAGTCAAGCCCATCTCAGACACATCTACAGCCAAGGCCATCTAAGGTGCACACAGCAGCACTATTCTTTAATATCATCAATTGGTCTCTATTTATAGGGCTAGCTCTGACAGTCAGAAAACAATGGAAAGAGCCGCACGTCTGGGAATCAGAGGAATTTAGCAAGGTATTCAGAGAGGAATTAATGTCATCACCATGAGAGCTTCTACATGCTTCAGAGATGTATTTTCCACCTAAACTACACGCTACACTATACTCTTCCCTTCCCTTACAGTGGCTTTTCCTTCTCTGTTATCAAAGAAATACATCTTGTGGACCCTTGTTCATCTCATGGACCCTTGAGTGACTTCTATGCAAGCCCCTGCTAAACCCACAAATAAACATCACTGGAGCTCCACAGTGTAATGGGAAGAAAATGGCAGTGGTATACATGCACAGCTCTAACCTTCCATCAAAGGGGTTAAACCCACCACCATATTATCATAGAACTGCACATGCCAGGGCACCAGGGATTGAATATTACAAATCCATATGTCCTTTGTAGACATCTTTTAGTAGACAAAGCTGTCAGCAGTGGCTGGCTCCATTTACTTGAAGACCAACAATATAGTATTATTGGTCGGCAAGAAAATGGCTAAAGGAACCGGCAGCTCCTTTGTCTGATCACAGTTATATCATACTGTAGTTCCCTGATGTCCTTTCATGTGCATTTCTTTTCCAATCATGTTGTGGCAGATTACTCTACTTCAATGTTAAATGTGCTCATTTCCGTAACCACCATCTCACAGGGTTAAATGAGCCATTTTCTTGAAAGCCAGGGGTTGGGTTGGGGGGAAGTAAGGGGTGAAATGGAAGTCAATTAAATCTGTGGTCATAGTTATTAATGTTTTAGCATTTCATATGCTGTGTTGTGCATTGGATATAGTGCACTGTTACACCCTATATGCTGCACTGTATTTTGCATACCCTGGCCTGCTGCAGCCCAAAACATTGTGCTATACATTATATGCTCTAGACTGCCGGAATCCATGTGTTGTGCTGTAAATTGCATACACTAGACTGCCATATTCCATTTACTGAACTGCAAAACTATATACACTTCAACTTGGTTGAATAAGTTAACTGTCACACTGCTTACACTGCACTGTAGTTTTCATATTTCATACCACTCCACCTTGTGTAATTATACACAACACCGCACTACCCTGTGCTGTACCGTATGTAATATACTCCATACCTCTAATTAATATACAGTTGTCATATAAATACTGCTAGTAATTGTTTTAGGATGAGTAGTAATCTAATACTGCAAGTCAGAAGAGTCACCAGACCATCAGACTGATGAGGAACACGCCCACTTGTTATCTCCTAGTAGAGATAGAAACCCTTCAGATTTTCAGTCTACAGGATCAGCCAACAAGTGAAGAACTAGTGCTGGACTTTCTTATTAGAAAGCCCAACACACTATACAATCATAATATTTTGAAAACAAATACATATATAACAAAATCAAATAAGTTCCTTTAAGTATATCTGCATGGATTTTCATAAGGTAACAATTAGCATGCCAAATATTTTTTTTGTTAACGCATCCCAATAATATTTGTGAATATTATCTGTACGGATAACATTTTCTGCACAACTCCAATTTTGGGGAACCCAGCATTGTGCATTCTCAAGTAACTGGACCTCTGAATTCACTGGTTTTAAACTAACTAGGCCAATTGAAAAGTGTATATTAAAAGAAAATGAAAAGGTAGTATTGCTCAATTTGTAGAATATACCATTAGGATCTTTCCCATATTTCAAATTTAAAAAAGCAGATTTAAAGTCCTTTTTTTTTGGTATGCCCCATGATACAAATAACTATTTTAGCCTGAAGGGTAAGGATCATGCCCTTATTCTTTTCATATGTAGTTTTTATGCTACCTCCTGACACAAATCTGATTTCTGCGAGTACCTGAAACATGAGACTGCCAGAACTACTACATACAGTATACACCACATACAAAGACTACACATTTATATTTATCGCCCAGACTTGCCCCTACTATCTCTACTGTGCCCCCAACCCACCAATGCCACCCAGATGCTCCCTCATTCTGTCACCAAAACCACAAGAAGACAGACTTAAAAGGCCTCCTAGTCGTTTAAAAAGTCTGCCAGTACTTGCCACATAGCTGCAATAAGGGGAGTGAAACGTTAACAACAAAGGTTATGTTTGGGTAAATGCACATACAGCTACCACATTAGTATGTATCATGGGTGAAGAATCAAATAACGCTTTGAAATAAAAGTCCGTAAAGCAGAACGTGCATTTCTCTGGTGCAGTCAGACTGAAAAGCTGTTGCAGCACATGAGGAGGATACCTTTCCAGAGATAATTGAGGAGCAGCACAGTCAAGCGAAGCAGGTTTGCTGAATTCAGCTGCTTCATCTTCTTAGGAGTTGCTGTGTTCTGTGGACATTGTTTGCCGGAGCAGTGGGGTGGGAAGAAAGATACAAAGAAACCGCAAGCACCATTATCTTTTGCATCCATTACCTGTGACAATAAACAGAGAACAAATGCCATTAAGGCTTGCCACATGAGCAAATTCATTTTATTGTTCCATTCCAATTAATTCCTCTTTTAAAAGCAATAGTCTCTCAGAACTCTTCTGGGTGCCTATTATTCCAGCCGCGTTGGTTACCTGGCAGTTCTGCATTCAGAGATTACAGTACATTTCATTCTGACACATGAGTGATCTACCACTGGGCAGGACACAATGAACCTTAGCAAATCTCAGCGTACACATGCAGCTTATATACACACAAACACGTATTTAGATTTATATACAGTATATTTATATGCATTTAATGCACATAGTGGTTAATACAGTAAATTAAAAGGTATGCCCACCTCAGTCTTTTCTAGTTTGGTTAATGCCAGCTGGTTGGATCACCCAAAAGGCTTTATATTGTTCTGGGAGTCAATTGGATTGCTGCATATTGGTTCTCAGGTCTACACACACACACACATACACACACACACGCGTCAGAGCAGACATACACACAAACACAAGCAGACTGTCATAGCCACACACTGAAGTTGGTATCACATTCACTGTTTGCTTTTATTCTTTATTGCACATGATGGTGAACGCAGCAAGATGAGTGACACTCCATTAGGAGTCACACAAAAAAAAAAGAATGGAAACCGGATGCCTTGAGAGATAAAAGAAGGCAACAGGTGAATGAACCCATCAGTGTCACACCCAACTGAAATACCAGTTCTGGCCATATTGGTAATGTGAAAAGCACCTAGCACTTTAGAGCACAAAATGGCGCTGTGCACCCCTGAAGAAGGCATTGCATTGCTAAAACATGTAGGATTTTGGAAGCACAGCTTGTTTTTTTAACTGGAGGGGATCCCCAAAATAATAGGTAGAGGAAATATATGGATTATTGCATAAGAGGAGAATGGGAATATACTGTAGATTGTGCACAAGAAAGAAATAGGATTATACAGTTACACCAAAGGAAATATACCTGTCTAAGAAGTTAGATATGAGAAAGAATATCTGAAAAAGTTGGGAAAAATAACTCCATATCTCTGCTATATAAGACAAGAATTAATAATTCCGTACCGACAACATATGGGATCAATAACCTCCAGAAGGAGTCACATATTTGGTGTTTGATAACCTGGGAAATTTGTAAAGTGTTATTCATATATTAAAATAAATTCATTGAATAAAAGTTATGTTTTAAAGCGAATAGAATTAGATGCGTGGATTAATTAAGCACTTCATTCTCACAGAAATAAAATAATAGAAATTACCTAAGGATGGTAAATTAGCAATAACTAATATTTTCTGAAGCTAGCATTTTCAGCAATGCTAGCCTGTGTTTAGGAGCCATCTTACCTGCCAAAGGGTTTAAATTATTTATACAATCCTGTCAGCCAGCAGAGCCAGCCTGGAGACCTGCATAGCAGCTAAGCAACACTGCTATGTCACCTCCCATCCTTCAGCCTGTGATTGGACAGTGAAGGAGCAGCAATGTAATTATTCTTCTCTCTCCTCTGGTCAGCATTTAACTTTTCAGCAGATGTGAATGCAGGAAACCTGGCTGGCTCAGAGTGCTACTCCTCCCTCTCATTAACTCAGTGCTAATGTAGAGGGAATTAAATGAGTCTAAAATTAAGTCAAAATCATGTGTTTGTACTAATTGCCTTTAAAATACATTTAAGGGTTTATTTACAAAATTTTTGCAGAGCTGTTTGTTCTGCAAATGTCTGTGCTAGAGATTGTCACAGCATTATGGCCACTAGATGGAGCCGAGGAGCATGGGAATCTCCTATGCTTCTTGTTTCCATCTAGTGGCTATAATGCAGTGCCAATCTAAAACACAGACGTTTGAGAAGCGAACAGCTCTGCGAATGTTTTTTTAATACACCCCTTGTTTAAAAAAAAAAAAAAAAAAACCAAAAAACGCATTCTTTGGGTTTTTTTTTTTTATTATCTGCCATAAGTTAAGCATTAAAACTAAATAAAGTAAAAAATATTAACAAGAAGTCAACTACAGATAGGGAGCCCTTAACTACAGTGAACTCCCCATTATCTGGCATTCAAGCAACTGGCACTCTCAAGCAACCGGCAAAAGAAATCGAGGACATACGTCCTCGACTTTTTTTTTTGTGTCGGTGGCTTGTTGCACACTAGAAGAATGTCGGTTGCTTGGTGCAGATTAAAAAATTTCCTTAACATCTAAATGTATTTAGTTGCTAAGGAAATTCTTTGTTTAGATCTTGCTGCTAGCCAGCAGCTAGATTCCATGGTCGGCAGCAGAATGTAAATAATGGGGAGCAATAGCCAGCCTGCTATTGGCTATTTCAAATTGCAAACGCAGAGGAGTGGACATGAGAGAAAACTGGGAGCGGGGTGCCTTGGGGTGGTTGCTTGAGAGTTACTATTACCTCAAGCAAACAGAAACTACAGTTTCCCGGCACTTACCGATCCCCGTGGATAACTAGGAGTTTACGAAAAAGTTAATGTTCGGCTGTAGATCCTCAAATCATCTCTGAATTCATGCTGACACTATCTTTTCTTCTGGAGGATGGCTACTTTTGTTCCCCTTGGTCCCTGTGTGTGTTGTAAAGTAGCCATCGCTCCAAGCTCACTGCCGTTATGGACTAAAATCTCAGGTTTAGTTTGTTATTTGTATTGAGATTGTAGTCCATCACAGGAGTGAGCTTGGAGCGGTGGCTACTTTACAACACACAGAGGGACCATGGGGAACAAAAGTAGCCACCGTCCAGTAGGTAGGACAGTGTCAGCACCAATTCAGAGATGATTTGAGGATCTGCAGTCGAGTGATATACAAATAAGATATATTTTTCTTAAAGGAGAACTATAAGGTGAGTGCTTTTCACTCACCTCATAGTTCTAGCCGACCTGTGACAATGGGACTGTCACAGGTCGGCTCAGTAGATCGGGAGGTGAGCAAACACATGCCGGTGTTCGCTCACTTCTCGATCCTGTCACGGCTCTCTGCCGTGACAGGGGAGGGGATGGATTCCCCCCTCCCCGCTCCGATCCGCCAGCGCTGACTGGACGGACGTGGGAGGGGGCGGGTACAGCTGGCTCTGCCTCTAGATAGGCAGAGCCAGCTGTCACTCACGCAGCTGGGCGGATCCCGACATAATTGTCGGGATCTGCTTCAGCTGCGGCGTCTCAGTATACCGCGATCTGTAGCTCGCGGTATACTGAGCTTAGGGTGACGGGAGGACGCTAGTTTGTGTCTTCCCGTTACCCTAAGGAGAACTATGGGGAAAAGCCTTAACCCCATAGTTCTCCTTTAATGGTTGAGGAACTTGAATGCATTTTAAGATTTAACTCCAGAGTTCAGTGCCACTTTAATAATATGTAGGGAATAGAAGAAACTTTGTACCGTCTATGTGTTGTTGTCACTATCAGGCAGGAACACAGTGGCTACAAGTGCTAACATAAATATTTTCCTAACCCTCATTCTTGGTGAGATATCAGCCTATCTATGACCTCTCTAAGGCAGGAAAGCACACTAAGCCAAGGGTAAGCCCCCTGAAGTGGCAAGTGGGAGATAAACACCTTTTCACCTTTTGGCTTAATGGGTCTGTAGGAGGCATGCGCAGAACTGATAGGCAGCCCAATGGCTGACTAAAGAAGTAGTCACGGTTGGCTGACAACAGTAATGCTTATTGGGAGGAAGTGGCATAGTGCTTTTAACATGAAACAGGAAGTGTTGTTACTGATCTCCAGCTAAGGAACTTTGCATCAAAATCACAGAAAGTTATTTGCTCGAAGCCCAACTTAGTCCTGGCCAAAACATTAAATCTGTAAATGTTCCAGAATATACCTGATATCTGGGAGATCTAATAACGAGTAATACTTACCTTAAAGAGGAACTTTACTCATGTGTATTCATTCCTACTTCATTCATTCCTAATATTTCACTTACCTTTTATCCAGGAAAAACATACTCACAATCCCAGCAAATCCTTTTCTCCCCTTTAGCTCTTCTACTGCACATACCACCCCATGCCACCATCTTTGTTCTCTTTGTCATCATGAGTCAGCTGTCTCTTCCAGGTTCTTGCAGCTGGCTCCCTGATGACACAATGCTAGATGAATCTTTCTGCACCATGGGGAAGCCTCCTGGGATAAGTGACATTGAAATTCCTGGGGGCTGTACCAAGAGGCTTCACATAATGTTCTCCTAGATTAGAATGGAGGCTGGGGGCCAGTTGAAAAAAAGAAAAAAGTATTTATAAGAAAATATATTTTTTTAAACCTGTTTTCTTAAATTGTGGAGGGTTACAATCATGAAAGGTGTTGTTTCAGTAGGCCGGGACTGGGACCATCCTCTATTAGGGTAAGTACTACTCTCTATTAGATCCCCCCAAGACAAAATGAACATTATATCCTGTATATGTTGGAAATGCTATCTGCACCATTACAATGTGAGCTTATGGAACCAGGGTGTTGCCCCTTCAGGGGGGTGTGCCCATGATTCCCTGCACTCACAGTAGGCCCTTAGTCTTCCGGGATGAGTAATGCTGGAGCATCATTCAACCTCCGTAGTCTAAAGACATCTTTTGGTGCAAAGAGAGTACTGTGGGGGACAACTTATGTTTGAGGCTAAATATTGCAGCCAGAGCAGTTTTTTTCCTTCTATTAAAAAAAAACAGCATCTGATCAGCTGCTGTGGCACAATTTACACATTTTCATGCATGAGGCCCATAGTTAATAGCTTTGCAAACCCAAATGCTATTAGATTAATAGATTCTTGAAAGTGTGCACTGATAGGGTTAAACTGCGCCGACCCCCAACCTTTAACATTAATCAAATCTGCAAAGAACAAGGCGTATAGTGAAATATTCCAAATCTGTGTGCCATCATGGAGACATACAGTAACTGTTCTCTTATATACGAGGGCTCCAACATAAGGGCCTGCAGCTGCATTTCACGCTCCTGATTTTTACAAAGTCGAGTCTATTAGACGCTTCTTAGACTACATCATCTTATATCTCTCAGAATGTCAGATGACCATAGAGAGACATTTTATGGCTCGTTCACATGAGAGCACACGTTACTGTCCAGCTCTATATATAGACAGGTATTCAATTCTTGGCAGACTTGTAGACACAAATGAGCAGTAATATAAACTACTCTAAACAGACAAAAATACCACAAAACACTGTTCTTCAAAACACTTCCCAGGC